CGGCTGACCTTACATGATTGACACGTGGAGAAACCTGTCTCTTATACACATCTAGATGTGTATAAGAGACAGGCAGCAAGATAGTTGCTCTGCAGCCTGAACTACAAAGTGCAAAGCAGGTAAGTGCCTGTCAACAACAACAACAACCCCCCCCCCCCCCCCCCCCCCCCCCCCCCCCCCCCCCCCTTTTTTTTTTTTTTTTTTTTTTTTTTTTTTTTTTTTTTTTTTCCCTCCCCCCCCCCCCCCCCCCCCCCCCCCCCCCTTTTTTTTTTTTTTCTTTTTTTTTTTGCCCGGGCATTTTGCACCCCCGGCACCGATCCGGACTGTCCGGATCACCGAACAGTCCGGACCGGTCCAGACACTAGTCCGGAAGTGTCCGGTGTCCGGGTCTGGGGTTACCATGGTATTTGCAATAGCCATTAAGAACTTAAAGGCAAAGGAGGGTGGGAGGAGGGGCAAGGCAGGCTCAGAGGTGAGCCAGTTTAGGAAAGCTCAAAGCAAAGTAGCACAGCAGAAAGCATAAGCAAAAAAGGGGACTTGTAGCAGTTATCAAAGGCTCAGCAGTAATGGAGGTTCAAAGAAAGAGAGGGGGGAGATTCAGAGTGGAAGTAGAAGTTTGAAGAACACACAGAGGGGTGCAGAAGGAGAGAAGGCATGGCCAGGCTTCTGAATTATGCAGCCCCCCTTAAACGCAGGTTCAGAATGAAGATGAACACAAAGGAGAGGATAACAAAAGGCTCAAGAATGAGCCTGTCGTTGACGATAGAGAGGACATGCATTGTAAGGATTAAAGGGATGGACACATTATATATACATATACATATGGTCATATATATACCCTACCGTCTTCACCCGAATAGAACACCCAGTCATTATAGCTGTATTTGGCGCAGAATACAGTCCAGATGCAGCGATAATGACCGGGCATTCTATTCGGGTGAAGACGGTAGTACTGTCTCAACATTTCCCCACATACCTGACTTCTTCAGAATATCTGATGAGATCTCGTGACCCGCTTGAGCCAATGAGATAACCTGCAATAGATAGTCGGGATATGCGTTTAGTACTTGCTCTTAAAACTTTTTACAGTCACAAATTTCAGTTCTCAAAGCCAAGGGGGAAAAAGGAAAAATAAATGAAAAAAACTGGCAAAAGTCAGCATCACCCTGTTTATGGTTGTAATACTCGTTCTTCCTTGGGTTCTGTTTTGTGCCAGGAGGGGTATTTTAATGCCCCTCAAGGTGTGACCACGTAGAAAGGAGTATGTATAGGTCATTGCAGGTCTGTCGCACGAGCTTTCAGATCATGACACCAGCTGCCACAAGCTCCTGTTGATGCCGGGACCAGACTGATGTCAAGGCGACAGATAGATCAGGTTCTTTGAAAAGTCGGAATTTGCTATGATCGGTAGTCTAAGCTATCATGTCGAGGCAACATCAGGTTTGTGGGAAAGTCAGAATTTCCGACCATCAATAGCCAAGCAACAATTTGCTGAAATATGTACGCCATATTCTGTTGTCTCGCGCTTGTGCTTCCGCTTGGCATCATATTTTCTAGAGATGGAATCTGGGCCAACCTGCAATAACCTCTACATACTGCGCTCCAAAAAACACAACTCATGGGAATCCCACCCTCAACACCTGGCCACCTGGATTGCCTATCCATGGGGCGCTTCAGCACACACAGACACATCATGGGGATCACTCACGCAACACATGCCCTCTGAGTCTGTGCATAAAAGTTTTTGGACGCCACCACCAAACAGCAAACACACAGAGAATCATACAGAAGACCGGCAGATCAAGCAATTCACCCATCATCTTGCAGTCCTAGCTACAACCACACGGCTGAACTTGTGGCTGATGTCCTCAACTGACATGCCCTCTTCAGCAATATCAAGGCAATACAAGAATATGTATGATATAAAACTGTTAAGACATGTATTGTCAAAGAAAAATCAATAATTATTTGATTCATAATATCCAAAAGACAGATAGAATACATATATCTACACATATACTCCCATACGGTTCTGACCTGCATTGCTATCACAAACTCCTTATAACCAAGGAAACCCTGACGACCTACGTCTGCAATCGCCCACACCTGCAAGATCAACAAGCACGGGCCAAAGATTAGTCTTTTTGTTGTTGTTGTCTCCCTTGACCATCAGTTTGTCATATTGAAAAAAACTCGTAATGGTTTATTTACACCTGGGAAATCCACAAGGACAAACCAGCAGAGATGATATTTGCACCCCCTGATACAAAGAGCACAAGACCATTACCACCCACTGGGCTCTATCCACAACTGCGCAACTCCATCTAACCCAGAGCAATGCAACCCGCTGTGACTATGCAAGCATGCGCTCCCCCAAAAGGTTATAACTTATAACCCACCACCGGGTTATGAATGGGCAGAAGTCGATGCTGGAAACACAACAGGCAAATACTTGGTAGGTTGGGGGAGTGGGCCTCTTTCCAATACCACATTACGCAGAATTTGCAAGGAGATTGTGGCGCAGAACCACAAAACATTTGTCAAACCACCTCAAAATGCTCTAAACATCTCTCCGTACAGACTTCACTTCTTGATGAGACCGCCGTGTTAACCCGCATTGAAAAGGACAGGAATGTCTTGTGTACATACAAACGGTTGCATTGAAAATTTTAAGTGTTACACCCACGGTTGTTAACCAGACGTCCAGATCGGCATCCAGACGGGTCCGGTCGGGATGTCCAGATCCAGTGTCCGGTTTGGGGGGTCCGGTTGGGGCCCATTTCTACAAAATTCAAAAAAAAAAAAGGGGTCCCCAGGCGATTTTCCAAAGCCCGGTGGACCCCCCAAAATTGTTGGCGCAGTTTTTGGTGGACCATTGGGCCAACCGGACCGGCCCTGAAGGGGCTGTACTTGCAATCTTGGGTGAACTTCAGCAGGCCAAGGAGAACTGTGTGTGTGTGTGTGTATGCGTGTGTGCGTGTGTGCGTGTGCGTGTGCATGTGCGTGTGCGTGTGTGTGTGTGTGTATGCACCAAACCTGGAAAGCAGTCCAGCATCCCATCAGAGCAGCACGATGAACTCAGTTGATAGACGACGACAGATGAAGTACTGTGCAAACACAATGTAAACTAGATGACAGACACGTAGACCAGATTAAGATGTTCATCAAAAGCCACCAACAATATAACAAGATACAGCTATCGTGGTTTTCCTAGTAGCACTATCCCTATGACATAATCCCCCCTGCGCACGGGTCTTGGGCCTCAGCAACTGAGGCTCGCAGCAGCTTCAACTGTAGCCATCCACCCGGGGTCTTTCTGGAAGCACCCGAAGTGCAACCAACTCACACCCAAGGCCTTTGGTCCAAACCAACCCGCGACGCCCTTTTCCCTGCAGCAACTGTCTGGGCCCCCCGCTGCTGTCAGGCCGAATCAAAATTTGAGGCCCACCTTGACTTAGGGCGGGCACATAAGGGCCTGGAGCCATGCCGCGGGGCTCTGATCCAACAATGAGATGTTAATATACCGCAAAGAGGAAGACCCACGGATATAAAAAGCTAGAAAGCGCAACCGAGAACACTGTATCCCTCAAACCTTCGCCACCCCTTCTGCATCCCCCCATCTCTCAAAGCCCTTTAGCCACCCCTTCTCCGCCCCCCTCTGCCGTCAAATTCTTTGACGAGGAATTCCCACCTCCCAACGCCTCTCTCCCCACCCACCCTCGCCCTTCCCACAACTGAAGGGGACAGCGCAATATCAGATAAACATTGAGAACACCTCTCCATTGTATACCCTCCTTGCACCCTCTCAACACACTGCCACAACTGTGATGGGATCTCTCCCCTGATTCCAAACTCCTGCCAGTGTCAGAACTCACAAGCCTGCTGCAATGTTGCCCCCGTTGGTCCTTACCTCTAGATGAAGTTAGTACCACCTTCGCCCGCCTTGACCCCGATATCATCACCACGTGGCAGAAACCGTCTCCATCCTGATCTAATGCCCAACCCCAGAAGCCATACTATCATGATCATTCAACCCTTCCCCATCCTCGGGAGAAAGACCCTGCACCCCTGCCTCCACTAATGGAGACGAGAGAAGAGGGGATAACTGTATCGACTTCAGCTTCCACTTCCCTTCTTCCTGGCAATGAAGATCCTGCATCTCTCCCGCCATTGGCAAATACTAAAAAGGAAAGAGGACTTGATGAACGCACGAACTTCCTCTTTCCAAGAAGAGAGATCTTCAACCCTTTCCTACCCTGAGGAGAAAAAAACGGGGATGACCACATTGGTTTCAGCTTCCACTTCCGTCCTTCCTAGCAATCAAGATCGCACACTTCTCCGTCTATCTGTAAAAGGGAAAGATGATGAATGCACTGACTTCGTCTCCCCAGGAAGCAAGATCAATAGTCAACAACTTCATGTAAACACCATCTTCGCAAACATCACCACGATACTTCAAGACAGCTTCTAACGGATTAGTGGCAAATGATGATGATCATCTCACCATTGTCATCATCATCTCATCATCATCCTTGTTCCCACTCCCCCTATGCACTCCACCTTCCAACCTTGAGCCCTTTTGACGCTCCTATTCACTGAAAAAAGAGGAAAGAGTTTGAAAGACGTACACAAACCATCTTTTGGGTTGGTAGCAGACCATCCTTGCGTGTTCTCCCTTTGCTCCCACCGCCCTCCTTTGGCTCCTTTCACACTCTCTTTGTCCCTCCCGCCCCCCCACCCCTGCCTTGCCTCTTTGGCTCCTTTGACACTCCTATTCCCAGTGAGGAAAGAGGAAAGAGTTCGAAAGACATACACAAACAATCTTTCGGGTTGGTAGCAGACCATCCTTGCTTGTTCTCCCTTTGCTTCCTCCCTTCCCACCCTCGCCCCTTTGGCTCCTTTGACACTCCCTTTGTCCCCCCAACCCCCAACCCCTTCCCAGGAAAGAAAGAGGAAATGCAGGCCAATAATCTGCTGGAGGCATTTTTTGGGTGGGGGCGACTATTTCTTGACGTATGCGTTCTATCCTTGAGAGCACAAGAACCATGCTAATCTTCTCTGTATCATTCCAGTTTTAATGGATGACCCAAAGGACAATCTGCTGGAGTTACAAAGCAGATGAATAAGCGAGAAAAAGAATTGAGAGCACAAGAAAATGCTGACGAACGCGATACCCACCCTCTTCAGCTGATCTCGTGTCAGATTAGACATTGAAAAGAATCGAACAGCATCTTGACCAGTGAGCCGCCCATCACCATCTGCAAGGGCAATACAATCCACCGCCGTTAACTCTTACCACACAGACACTTTTGCTATATCCACTTATCCACTTTTTTTTTAAGCGTCCAGCTTTTTCTAAGTGACCAAACAGACATTACTTAACCAATCAACCTTGTTTTATCACAAAGGACGTCGTGAAGACATTCACCGACATTGTGATCAATGTCATGGACTTGAAAGCATCTCAGTGATCATTATGAGTGCGGACTCCGGTTGTCATCGAAAGGGTTGTAAAAATTATGAAAATGTTTCCAAATTATCACAGGGAGGAGAACCAACGGGGAAAACATCAATCATCATCAGTCATCATCTCATCCTATATCCGGTTGGCATTACCATATATAACTCTGTACCCTCACCTTGACAAGGACAGTGACAGTGGCAGCAGTGCTCCTCGCGGCGACAAGGGATAATGATGATGCCCACCAGTAGTTTTCCCAGCCATTTTTCTCCGACACGACTGTGCACACGGCACGACTTTGGGGGCTTGGCCTACCGGCACAAAATGGCTTGCAGGACCAGACAAAAAAGAGCTTGCACTGGTTCGCTTTTTTGGGGCGTGCAGGGAGAATCTGCTTCGGCAAAAGGAGGCCTCCAAGTACTGGGGGTTGAAGAGAGAGGAGGCGGGGAGAGAAAGAGGAACCCTTTCAGGGGGGAACAGGATAGTGGTGCTCTTCAGAGCAACAGGGGATACTGATGACAACAATGATGACTATGAGAGAGAGAGGGG